ATCCCAGGACCCTGGGATCATGACCTGAGCCAAAGGCAGACGCTTAACGACTGAGCCACCCAGGCGTCCCAGTGTTCTCATTTCTATACAGATGATGATCCAGGAGAGTCCAAATGTGTTATGATTTTGTTCCCTTTTCCCACTAAAATTCTTCTCTTCCTCAAAAGTCTTGGATCACTGCTGGCTGCCTCGGAGCGCTGTGGATACATGTCCTTTACAGTGGTTCCCCTTTGCCTTTGGCTGCCCACCAGTACACCAAGACACAGTCCTTTCACTGTGGGTGTGTGGTCAGAGTAAGGGGCTAAGTTATTAGGTTCTATCTTTATTATTAAAGAAAACCAGAAGGAGGGAGTTTGCATATTTAGTAGCGTTGATAGAGAGCAAAGAGCTAAAAGAAAACCAAGGAAGTCTGATTTAGGTAAGGTACATTGAAGCTGTGCATAGAACATTTTATTAGCCAGCGAAGACATAAATAACACCCCTCAGGGTTTTGAAATAAAAAGTTATAATGCAGTATCTATCCTCTATCTATTTATAGCTCACTCCATCCATCCATCCATCCATCCATCCATCCATCCATCCATCCATCCATCTCTCTCATCTCTCTCCTTCTTTCCAAGCATACTATGTTAAGCCAGTATGTGGTCTAAGATTTTCTTATGGTTGAAAGAGAAAAATGGGGCACTTCCACCTTTATTAGGAATCCTGGTTCTTGAATGTTTGCTTTATGCTTTCTACTACCAGCCTTTGATAAGACCTTTTTCTAAAAAATTTTTTATTTTTTTTAATTTAATGAGAAAACCCAATTGATGGCTTACTTTAGAATCTCTCTTCTTTGGTACCCATATCATTGCCAGTTGGGTGATGTTTGTTTTCTTTTTCGTATTGAGACCCCTTCATGCATGAAATCTCTCACTATTCTAAATACAACTGGAAGCGTTTGAACCTGAGCAGCTATTTGTAGAATACCTTCACAAGACTGACCTAGTTTATAGATGGCCACGTAGTGAATGATGACAAATGTAGGCTGTCTCCAGAAAGGCCCTAAATTGACATGATTAAACCTTTCCGGTGGCAAAGCCCCTTTGAGAGAGTGTTTAGTTTTAAAACTCAGATGACTTAAAAAAAAAAAAATTTTTTTTAACCAGAGTGGAAGAAAAACCTACAAGACATTCCTTCAATTTTCCTCTAATTTGAAAATATATTTTGAGGGAAATTAAGACTTTGCAAGCCAAGTTTTGGTGCAAAGTAAATCTTATAAATACCAGAAAATTTTACTGCGTGGGATAGAATAGCTGATCTACTCTTGATGGAGGAGTCTCTGTTGAAATTACACATCTCATCTGCCACCAGGGAAATTCTGGGGACGACTTTCCATTACTTGGGGTATTTTTAAAGCTAATGATAGGTGTTATTTTCTTCTTTCTAGACTGCCACAAGTTTCAAAATGTACTTAGAAAACTGGAATATTCAGACAGCTACTTGGCTGAAGCGGTAAGAAAAATACAAATGACCTCATTCCTCATGGCATGGGGATATGTTTAGATGGGAGTCACCAGACGAGTGGCAGCTCTGCCAGGCATGATGTGTTACCTGACACTTTTGTTTTGTATTAACATCTATGCCCTGGAAATGGAAAAGTAGAAAAGTAGTAATGTGAGAAGGTTACAATGTAGCATATTTATTTTAGTGGATCGCTTCACAGTACCATTCCCGTGTACCAACCACTCATTTCCTTGTCATAGCAATCCCATGAGAGGTTGGTAGTTAGCCCCATTTTACAGATGAGGAACGTGAAACACAAGAGAGGTTATGTCACTTGCCCAGAGTCACACAGCCAATGAGGACTAGAGAAGAGCCCCAACAGACTGTCTCCAGAGCCAGGCTCTTAACCTGTGTGTTGTGCCCCCTCTTACGTAGAGGAGGGTACATTGCTCAAAGGTCAAGGAGGGTCAATGTCGACATCAGATCACTGACGATCTCCATTTATCCCTAGCATTAAAAGCTTTATGGTACGCCAGATATTTATGCTTTTTCACTTTGTGTTTTTTGTTCATGTTTCTGTCCTTTTGTTTCTCTACACGTTCCAGAATTGGAAACATGACTTAATATAGAACTAGTAATATGCTATCCTTTTTTTGTTTTGTTTTGTTTTCAGAACTCACATGAACTGATTTTTTTTATGTTCTTTTTTTTTAAAATTTTATTATGTGTAATATGCTATCCTTGAAGCAACAAACTCTAGCTAGTGAATATTCCTATCTCATGAGTGCAGGGAGAGTATGAAACTATGAGGCTAGAGATTCTGGTTTTGATCCACAGCATTTTTCACGGGTAAGAGACAATAGTAACACCTCCAAAGTAAGCTCATGCACCGTTGTCCGAAAGTTGATCTGAACATGCAATTTTAGAAAATTTGCACCTATTATTGCTATTAAATTTGTCAATAATTTTTATTCTTTTCACTTTTATTTTTAAAGATTTAAATCTTTAAAGAGAGTGAGGGAGCACAAGCAGGAGTAGTAGCAGAGGGAGAGGGAGAAGCAGGCTCCCCGCTGAGCAGGGAGCCCAATGCAGGACTCGATCCCAGGACCCTGGGATTATGACCTGAGCCGAAGGCAGATGCTTAACCAATTGAGTCACCCAGGCACCCTGTATTTTGTCAATAATTTTAGCATAAAACTCTATTTCTGTATATTGGGTAATCCCAATGTACCAAGAGTCCTACTGTCTCCATTAGGAGTTTATGTTCTAAGATGACTGAACATACATGAGCACATTATAAATAAAAAGAATTTTAAAAAGTCATTTTAGAAAATGAAATGTCTTATTTGTACTAAAGATACAGAGTGTAAGAAACAAATACCTGGGCAAACTACCCCATTTCAAAGAAACATTGCAAGTGGCTTCCCAGTCCTGTGTTTCTCTCCCCAAATTCTTTCTCTTTCTTTGTATGAAAAGGGAGCCATAATCCTTAGTTTGGGTTCAAATCAGTTACTTTTGACAACCCATACAGAGCTGGATTGGTGTTAACTCTTTGAAATCCTATCTTATTTTTTATTTGGGTGCTCTTGTTTAGTAAGCCACATAGTGCCATTGGCCATTTGTAGATTGAATTTGCTTTAATAAACAACCAAGCGTCAAAGATCTCCAAGGTCTTTGCAGACAATTTCTAGATCCTCACAATATCACTGTTTAAAGCAAACTCATGGATTGAAATCCAACGGACACTGGAAGAGCTGAAAAGTCAGTAGCCGACACATTGATTTTGGGCTGGAGTCATTGCCAAGAGAGATGAAAGGGTTTGCAGCACTGCCTAGTTGGGTGGCATGGGGGCCAGGTTGGAAAGATGAATTGAGGATATTCTAAAGAGGCTATCCTGATTTTAAAATTTTTAGTGCCAGTGGCACTTATCCATAAGTACTCCCAGTAGATTAGGGTATTGGTGGAGTAAGCTCCTATAAGGCAGGAGCTCCTATTGTATAGAGTGACCACTTGGACTTTTATTAAACATAGTATGATGGTGTCTACTCGGACTTTTATTAAACATAGTATGATGGTGTCTACTCGGACTTTTATTAAGTATGATGGTGTCTAGATCATTTAGTTTCATGTAGATTACAACTTCATATTCCTCTCCCCAAATGACTGGACTGTGACTGGCCTGTCTGGTAGCATTCAGGATGTGGAGTTCAGGCAGCTGGGATTGCATTGCAAGTCCCCAATAGGGGACTGATCAGATGATTTTGGTCTGAAGACACAAGTGTAGGTAGATGCTTTTGGTCTGACCTGTGACTCGTGCCTTCCTCTCTTCATAGAGTATGCTATGAACGGGTTCCATGGTACCCCACGGTGCTAACCTTTGTCTTGTCTGCCTTGTGGCATGGTGTCTATCCTGGATACTATTTTACCTTCTTAACTGGAATCCTCATCACAGTAGCAGCCAGAACGGTAAGCTGCTTTTGGTTGTAGGATCTTTTCCTTAATAATCTGATGCCTCTGTGTTTGTCATTAGAGAACTCCTTCAATATATAGGAATTTTTGGCCATAAAATGAACTGTTTTCATGTTATTCACAGACGGTGTTTGCAAAAAGGAATTTTAGGAGTAATGAATGTTTAATACCTTAAGAGATGAAAAAAAATTTTTTGAAGATTTAGAGAGCGAGCACATGAGTGGGGGCGGGGGGTAGAGGGAGAAGGACAAGCAGACTCTGTGCTAAGCTTGGAGCCTGACGTGGGGCTTGATCCCACAACCCTGAGTACATGACCTGAGCCGAAACCAAGAGTTGGATGCTCAACTGACTGAACCACCCAGGGGCCCCCTCTATAGAAGAGGCTGAAAAAATTTTTAATCATTAAACAGAAAGTCTACCGATTACAGATGAAGATTAGTAATTGAGGCTCTGTAGGCTTTCATTTTGCTTATACTCATCTTAATTTCTCAGTTCATTATCCTAAGCTTAGAAATAATTCACAGTCTGTGCAGACAGTAAAATTGTAGCCATAGGAACTGTGTTGTTCGAGATTGCTCTAACTTTTCATGTTCTTGTGCCTGATCCAGTAAATTAGTTCGTGTGAAATTCTTTGTGAATTTTATAAATTCGGTTCTCTAGGTTTTTTGGGGTAGCCTTCAGTTTGTCCTAGAGTGTTCCTATCATCTGCTGGTTGTAGAGCAGGATGATAAAGACATAAAAAATATGCCTGTCCTTAAAGAATGAGATGAGCATGTATGTAAGTCATTACAACTCCGCGTGCTCCGATTGTCAAATAGAGTTTTGTATTGATTTAGTTGCAATTTGATAATGATTGTGGCTTTCCTAATTCAGGTGCCAGGAATTTCTAATGACATTTGTCAAACTATATTTTGGGTGTGAATTTAGGAGCCCCAACAGAGCTATTCACTCGTTCTGTAATTCATGTATTCTATGAATATTTCAGGAGCCCGCCTGTGTGCCAGTTTGGGTTCTAGGCACTGGGATACCACAGTGAACAAGAGTCCCTTCCCCACGGAATTCCTGTTTTAGCTAGGTGAATGTTTGCTGGAGTATATGTGTGAATAAGAATGATAATTGAGTTTACTTTTAAAAGTAAAGTATATATTGTACATGGGAAACAAAGAACACCTTTTCTCTTCTCCCATTTATCTACCTACTTGGATTATAAAAGAAATGTAAAGAGCAGATGACCAGGACAAACTAAAACAGGGACCAAAATTTTGTTTATTAATATATCCAGAGTATTATTCCTGAAGATGTCTTTAGCTCTGTGATCTCAGTTGGTATAAAAGCATTGATTTATATAAAGCCTTTCTTTTGGATGGCCTGGACATATTTTTCACAAATGAGGTAGGTAGGGGGATGGAGAGGGTTGATAGAACAGGATTCCCAGGAGAATGAACTCAGTAATGAAGTGTCTTATGGGCTTTCTGATACCTCTCATGCATCCCCCATGGATGGAGCTCTGGCAGTATCTTGAACCTGGGGCCAAGAAGGAGTTTGTAACCTACCAAGGCAGCCTCGGGAAGCCTTTCCTGCTTTGGGGCTAACCTGCCTCTAAGCCAGCCATTGTTTTAGCTCTGGCTTTGGTTCCTGGGCCTTGGAATTAGGTGTCTTTCTGGAGGCAAAGCTAGTCCCATATGTCAGAAGACCTACAAATTAACTATGGAAAAGCTAACTTTTCTATAATTAAAATTATATCAGATTAATATTTCCTGACATGGAATAAGATTTTTGACCCATTCCTAAATGAAAAAAACAGGCTAGAAAATCCGTGCCCTCAGTGAAAATACAAATATGGATATGCATGAATAGAGAAAGGCTTGGAAGGATATTTGCCAAGTTTGTAAACAGTACTTTTCTCTGAGGAGAGGTCAAAAAGTAAATTCTTTTTTTGTTTAGTTCTTTGTTCTTTGAACATTTGTCTACAGTGGACATAAATATATATATTGATAATAATAAAAACCACAGTGGTACTTTTGATCACCTGTATTCCTGAAGTATAATGCCTACATGCACAAAATAAAAGTTGTTTCTATTTTTCATACCCGCCCCCGGCTTCCTTGGCTTGCAGGTGAGGAACAACTACAGATGTTACTTCCTTTCCTCAAGAGCCCTCAAGGTTGTGTATGATGTGGTCACCTGGGCAGTCACTCAGCTGGCTGTCTCTTACACCGTTGCACCCTTTGTCATGTTGGCAGTTGAGCCAACCATCAGCTTATACAAGTGAGTTTCCATCCTTCTCAGTTGCTGTTTGGTACACTGTTCTGTCTTCCCTGTGTTTGACTTAGGAGTTGGTTAATTGGATCACTCGGTATTAAGAATTTCTAAATACAGCTTCGACGTGAAGATGTCCATAGACAGCTTTGGGAGGACATGGTTATCCCAGGGATCCCATCAGACACACAGCAATACATCTCCTTTTCTGTTTTTTTTAAGATTTTATTTACTT